CTCAGTCCATGGGCTGTGAAACCCTCAGCTGCTCTGTCTCTACATGCCGCTACATCTGACACCATGTCTGCTGCTGATACTTTTTCATGTAGGTGTCTCATGCTCCACTCATACTTATTCTTTCCTGATGGTCCTAGGATTGTCTATTCCTTCATCCCAGGTGGCTCCCTTTAAGCCTAGCAAGATGACAAAAACTAACCAATCCTGGTTTTAGAGTCCTGAACAACCTATCTGTATGGTCCCACCCAACGTTTGATGGGTGTTAAGAAGATTTTAAGGAGCTCTGGTAGCATAGTGGTTACAAATCATTCTGATAACCTCAAGGTCAGCTGTTCAAAACTATCAGCTGTTCCACGGGAGAAAGATGAGGCTTTCTGCTCCCATAAAGATTTACAGCTTCAGAACCCTTGTGTAGAGTTGCTATGAGTTGGAACTGACTCCATGGCACCTAACCACCAAGAAGACTTTGCATAGCAAATTCACAGTACCACACCCACCCACTACTCTTGAGTGCACTCCAACTCATAGTCAGTCTATATAGGGTTTGTTAGGCTGTAAATCTTTACAGAAACAAAAAACTGTATCTTTCTCCTCCAGTGCAGCTGATCAGTTTTGACTGCCATCCTTGCAGTTAGCAGACTAGTGCTTATTCTACAGTGCAAACAGAGTTCCTTAAACTGAGGAATGTGGTTGTTGTTAAGTCCTGTCAAGTAACTGCTCCCATGCATCTGATAGGCCAGCATCCATTGAGTATGGAAAGGAGTTAGAGTTTCTCCAACGTCAGCCCCAATGTTTACTGTTTTCCTAATATCTAGCAAGTCATCACAGCACACAGAAAAATCATTCACGGAGTTAATGCAATCCATGGAAACTATTAAATTTGTGTCATATTGCAGCTTCTTCTAAAATAAAAGAAAACGTTCCAACAAAAGACCACTGGATTGTTTTGAGTACATTTAGCAACAAATGGGACAAAGTCTTCTCCGTAGGAAAGATATTTTGAACATTATATAATGTACATAATGAAAATCACAATTTAGAATGGCAACAAAGACCATTGTGAAAATTCATTTGCTGACTTTAGTTCATTGAAGAGTGGACATTGGTAGACCAATTCTTTCTTTATTTTCCAGTAGGTGATTACTACGCTGAGTTGGCACATTTAAGGTTATAGTTTGGAACTTTCGCTGAGATTTAGGATCTAAAAGCAAACAAACAACATCTAAGAGTCAGTAGACAACAGGAAGTGCAGGTTGGACAGACTGTGAGTGGTTTTCCTTGGCAATGACATGTGCCCTGCAGAGGGTCACCTGTGGAATCAGTGAGGACCTGAAGGAAAAAGTCAGAGCCCATATGCCAGGGAAAACTTAAAAGTGAAATTATTTATTCTTATTCTGTTTATTATCAATAAATGAGTGAAAATTGTAAGCAGCTATAGAGAGTTTACAGATAAATAAAGTTATTTCAACGTATTTTCTTACAGGATTCACTCATCCAGTGTTTGTTTTTTTTCAAAGGTCAAAAAATGTATTTCTTTGTAACTGTTTCCTCCTTATTAGTACATTTAATCCATTTGTACCATTACCATTTGCACTTTACAAAATTAGGATAGCAAGCCTTTGGATTTGAGTTGGAACTCTAAACTTTTTGTCATCTCACTGTCCTTGTAATACTGATGTCATACCATGGTTTCATTTGCATGCATAAATTTTATGACCATTTCTCTCTCTCACTTCCTTTCATGAATCCTTCCAGACAAGTCATTATTTGAACTCTCCCTAAGAATTTGACCTTAGAAAGTTTGTTAAATTCTGACTACTTCATTATTCCAGCCTTGTATTTCTCTCCATATAATTTGATAATGGATTATAATCCACATATATTTGTTGAGAGTGATTTAATAACTGTAAATACCCCAGCACAAAGGCTGGTCCATACTTAATATGCAATAAAATTTGTTATCCTTTTTTAATGTCATTCTTATTAATATCCAGATTAAGAAGATAATCTATTGGGATACTCCAAGTTCCTTTCTCTTCATTCTAGTTGTGTCAAGCAAATTTATTCATTCCTGAACAATTTTATTGACTAGGCAAAATGCTCGAGCAAGTGCACTCAGGCAGCTTTCAACCTGAGGGGTTTTGTGCTCTGGCAATACAATCTTCGTTTCTCTTCCCAGTGCTGAAAACATGTGTATTAAATGACAGATACATCAAACAGTGGACTTGCAAAGCTACAGGCTGTCCATTAGCTCATTTGAGTCTCTGGTGAAACAAGTATTTTGCTGTCTTTGTTTATATCAGTATTGACTTTCATTCTACTCATGTAGAAGAATTGGCCCCAATTTTGCTGCTTGGAATTTTGCTAATTTAAAGCTTGTCATTTTGTTACCTAAGAAGTCACTTCCCTTCTTTCACTTTCATGACATTCAGATTTAACGTGTGTCTCTGTGCCAACAAAGAACTGCTCAATTTTACTTTCCAGGAAAATTGAAATAAGAAACTAAAAATCTACTATTATTTTCCCCATTGTATTAACCTCAGGATAAAATAGAGACATGCAGAAGCAATAAGACACACCAGCCCAGTAACCACAACATGAAAAATACCAGAAAAAGACTAGATGGAAAATCATTAGAGTAAAAGACTATCTAGCTCTGAATCTGCATCAAATCCAGTGTTCAGTAGTTAAAGAAAAAGAATTGACTAACAAGAGTTATAAAGTGATTACAATTGGATCATTTCTCTACCTACACGGACAAGACAATCTTTGGCTGTCAGAATCTGAAGGCTGTTGATATCTGTCATTCTGTTGTGTGTAAGTCACTATCACTCAGAACCCACTGGATGGCACCAAACAACAACAACAACTAAGGGAGGCAACAACACAGGTCAGCATCAGGACTCAAAATTTATTCCTAGCACAAAGAAAATTATTAATAAATCTGGTCACTTAGTGGCTTACATGTTGGGCTCCTAACTGCAAGGACAGCAGTTCCTATGATAAAGATGAGGCTTTATCTGAATGTTCCCATGAAGACATTCAGCCTTGAAACAATATTTATATTTATGTTGTTATGTTGCATTGAGTTAGTTCAGACTCATCGCAACCCTGTTTAGGGTTTCCAAGGAGCAACTGGTGAGTTTGAACAGCACACCTCATGGTTCAAAGTCCAGTGTTTATCCTACAGTGTCACACCAGGCCTCCATATATATATGTTGTTGTTGTTAAGTGCCATTGAGTCCGTTCCAACTCATAGGGACACTGTACAGGGTTACCAAGCAGCACCAGGTGGGTTTGAACCACAGACCTTGTGGCTTGCAAGCCAGCGCTTATCCTACAGCACTACACCAGGAATCCATACTTATGGTGCTGCTGGATAATGCACTGTTCAGCAAGGTCTGTTTGAACTGCAAGGTTGGTGGTTCGAACTCACCAGCCTCTCCTCAGAAAGCCTATATAGATCGCTATGAGTTGGAATGGATTCGACAGCACTTAACAGTAAACAACATATATATTGTGCCAGTTGATTTCAACTCATAGTGACCCTCTGTAGGGTTTGCAAGACTGTAAATATTTGCACAAGCAAAAAAGGTCATTGTTCTCCCACAGGGCAGCCTACATGCTCTAACCACCAATCTTTTGATTCACATTCCATTACTTATCTATCAGAGCCACTCTGTGTCTATATGTATATATAGAGAGAGAGAGTGTGTATGTGTTTATAAGAGTTTTTTTTTTTTTTTTAGACGATGTGACACTGATGTTTCTTATAAGTCTCCATTTTCATTAGAACATCTGAAGTTTACTAGGAAAGTTAAACTTCTATTAAAAATTTAAGATTTTAGTCCTCAAAGGCCAGCAGTTCAAATGCTCCGGCCATTCTTCAGGAGAAAAAGAGCACCTTTGCTTTTGTAAAGATTTAAACCTCTGAAACACTATATGAGTTCACTATGTCTTGAAATCGATTATATGACTAGAGGTGTTTTGGTCCCTGACATAGTTAAGGTTTTGTATCAAATTGCAATGGTTTTGCAGTTGAGATGTAGCTATCCCACATGATGTGATTTGATGTCGTAAAACAATGAGTGGATTAAGGGTTGGATGATGTTGTTGGTAAGTGCCATCCAATGAGCTCCAACTCATAAGGATCCTGTACAGGGTTTACAAAGAAGAGCTGGCAGGTGCGAACCACAGGCCCTGCGGTCAGCAGTCCAGTGTCCATTCCACACTGCCACACCTCCTTTAATATCACTACCATGTAAACCTAGAGTATGGTATGTAACACCTTTCATCTTACAAGAGATAAAAGGAGAGAGACATGAGAAAAGAAAGAAGGACGCGCTACCACCATAATGGAAGAGTCAGGAGTGAAGTGTGTCCTTTAGACCTGGGTCCCTGCACTGTGAAGGTTCAAGACCCAGAGGGAAGATTGATGCCAAGATGCATGGAGATCTCCAAGGAGCACTCGACCTACAGATGCTGAAAGGAGACAGGGCCTTTCCCTATTGCCAACAAACCAAGCATTCCCAAAGAACCAGCGCTCTGAATTTGGACTACTAGCCTCCTAAACTGAAAGAACACATTTCTGGTTTTTGAAGCCGAACACTAGTGCTATTTCTGTTATGTTGTTGTTCTTCTCTAGTTGAGTCAGTTCCAATCAACAACGACCATGTAGAGGGGTTCCTAGGAGCGGTGGGTGGGTTTGAACCACTGACTTTTTGACTTGCAGTCTATTTTTTACCCTACAATGCCACACCAGGATTCCATTTCTATTATAGGAGCATTAAATAATAAGACAGCCATATTATGTCATATCAAGAACATACAAATCGAAATAAAAAACAGAAGTAAAACTTTACAAACAACATTTAGAAAATGAAACAGTAGTGTTCTCTATATAAAAGTCATGATAGACAGGTTGTCTTCATAGAACATAGGATCCAAGGTTGAACCAGACATTCAGTTCAGCCAGACCAGCAGTAAACTCCGTTTTCCCAATGGCCTTCCTGCTCTCTCTACTGACAGCACTGGTGATGCTCAGCTATGGCCCAGTCCCATCCCTGGGCTGTGATCTCTCTCAGAACCACATCCTGGCTAGTAGGAAGACCTTTGTGCTTTTGGGCCAAATGAGGAGACTCTCCCCTTTCTTCTGTCTGAAGGACAGAAAGGACTTCAGAATCCCTCAGGAGATGGTGGACAGCAGTCAGCTGCAGAAGGTCCAGACCATCTCTGTCCTCCACGAGATGCTCCAGCAGACCTTCAACCTCTTCCACACAGAGGGCGCCTCTGCTGCTTGGAACACGACCCTCCTGGACCAACTCCACAGTGGACTCTCTCAGCAACTGGATGACCTGGAGACGTGCTTGGTACAGGCAATGGG